GCGCCTCCCGCGGCCACAGCTCCGTGGGTGCTGAGGACCGGGACTTTTTCTGAATGCCTGAAGGCCTCCCGAAGCCCGGCATCAGGGAGAGGAATTTAGGGTCCGGCTCCAAATTAGAACCATTCCCTCCCACCGGACTCAAAGCAGGATTCCTTAGCCACCGTGCGCCTAGCGGAGGCGTAATTGATCTGGCTCTGTGTGTGATTTGCTTGCATGGGAGAGGAGAGAATTCGGCACACATGTCAATAACCAAATACATTTCTTCTTTTAAAAATGCTAATGCAACTAAGACTTCTTTAACCCCTTTCACCCCACCACTCAGCCGTACGCAATCCCCCTCCCCTCCCATCTTCTGAAAGGGTTGTTAACACTTAAATATTCTATTTACTGAGATGACCTGTGATCTCATTTTTACAGGTGAGAAAAGCGACGCTCAGAAAGGCTCAACTTACGCAGCGAGGCAGAGCTAACTAGGGGTAAAGCTTCTACAGATCAGCCATGTTCAGGGCCTGGGCCGGCAGAAGCATCGCCTGAAACCATGTTAGAATTTCAGATGTTCAGGCCGCAGAGCCTGAATCTTCACTTGATCCGGACCCCTAACTGGTTGGTACTTGCACAAAGGTTGAAAAGCATCGCTCTATAGCCCTGTACCCTCCACCGCCCTTGCTTTGGCTTAGAGACTTCACAGCCTGTTTGTTGCTCTGTTGACATGAAATTGCGTACCATCCCGCCCCAGGTTCGCTCGCAGTCCGTTTGCCCTCCTCCGCTCCTGCTTGAATTACCTGTGGCACCCCTCATGCCTCTGTTTCTCCGAGCCTCTGTGCCACACACACATGCTGCATTACCTTACTAACTGTTAAACAGTCTTGGTCTTTCTCTCTTTTATTTTCTAAAGTGGGGCTTTGCCATCAAAGACGGGCCCTGGTTTCAAGTCATCGCCATCTCTGATGCCTCCCTCTCTGGTGTACCCTCTAACGACTAAGTGCTGCAATCCCATAAAGGACAAGAAGAGATCTAAACCAAACCTGAAACTGATGCCAGGAGACTGCAGACCGCTCATCATTTAGTTAACAAAATTCAAACCCCAGTCTGTATCAGGCGTGGTGGCAGTTGCTGGTACAGAGTAAACACAACAATAAAAATTGCTTCCAGTGGGCAGACCAGCGATTAACAAAAGAAGAAAAGTACAGAGGGTAGCAGAAGGTGGTGTTACAAAGAGAAAAAAAAGACCCAGCTATTT